CCATCACTAGGATACTTTACCTTTATTTTCCACCGTCTACTACCTAAAAAATTCTTAACAACAAGCTTTAATACACCCCTAAACATACTAGATTTAACATGACTAGAAACCTCTATCCCAAAAGCTATTTCCTACACAAATCTTACAGTCTCCCAAATCCTTGCCAGCCAAAAAGGCCTAATCAAACTCTACTTCTTTTTTTTTTTTTTTTTTTTTTACGAGACAGGGTTTCTCTGTATTGTTTTGGAGGCTTCAAACTCTACTTCTTATCTTTTCTTATTACCCTTCTTTCAATCCCTCTCCTACTAATTAGTTTCCACGAGTAATTTCGATAATAATAAAAATACCCATAAAGTTCAACCAGACACCACTATTAATCACGCAAAACAACTATATAATGCTGCCACTCCAGCTGCCCCATCTACTATTAAACCTAATTCATCTCCATCATAAACCACTTAACCACCCATACTATTAAATTTTAAGATTACCTCTATTCCTTCATAATATTTAGTTACAAATGTCATTCCTAACTCTATAAATATACTTATTACTAGAACCCCAAAACCTAGTCAACTAGACACCCATGTCTCAGGATACTCCTCAGCTAATATAGCAGTTGTATACCCAAACACAACTATCATTCCACCTAAATAAATTAAAAACACCATTAATCCTAAAAAAGATCCCCCAAGACCCATTACCGCTAAACAACCAGCACACACACTAATAATTAAACACATCCCCCCGTAAATAGGTGAAGGTTTTAAAGATGTACCTAAACACCCTAGCGCAATAAATGAACTTAAAATAAGAACTGATTCTATCATAGTTTCAACATAGACTATACCTATGACTAATGACATGAAAAATCATCATTGTAATTCAACTATAGAAACACTAATGACAAACATTCGAAGAAAACACCCTTTAATAAAAATTATTAACCACTCATTCATCGGTCTTCCAACTCTGTCTAACATCTCATCATGATGGAATTTTGGATCTTTAATCGGATTATGCCTAATTATTCAAATCCTTACAGGCCTATTCCTAGCTATACACTATACATCAGACACTACTACAGCCTTTTCATCAGTAACCCATATCTGTCGAGACGTAAACTATGGATGACTAATCCGCTATCTTCACGCTAATGGAGCCTCAATATTCTTTATCTGCTTATTTCTTCATGTTGGTCGAGGTATTTACTATGGCTCATATACTATAGTAGAAACCTGAAACGTTGGAATTATTCTCTTATTCACAGTTATAGCTACAGCATTATAGGCTACATATTACCATGGGGCCAAATATCATTTTGAGGAGCTACAGTCATCACCAATCTCCTATTGGCCATTCCTTATATTGGTACCACCCTAGTTGAATGAATTTGAGGGGGATTCTCAGTCGATAAAGCTACACTAACCCGATTCTTCGCATTTCACTTCATCCTCCCATTTATTGTAACAGCTCTAGTCCTAGTTCACCTTTTATTCCTACATGAAACAGGATCTAATAACCCATCAGGCTTAAACTCAGACGCAGATAAAATTCCATTTCACCCTTACTATACAATCAAAGACCTTTTAGATGTCTTCCTATTATTGATTGTTCTCATAATTTTAGTATTGTTTTTCCCAGATAATTACACTCCTGCAAATCCACTCAATACTCCAGCACATATTAAACCAGAATGATATTTTCTATTTGCATACGCCATCCTACAATCTATTCCTAACAAACTAGGTGGTGTCCTAGCCCTAATTCTTTCTATTTTAATCTTAGCTGGTTTACCTCTTCTCCACACATCAAAACACCGAGCTATAATCTTCCGACCCATTACACAAACCATATATTGAATTCTAGTAGCAGACTTGCTCTTACTAACTTGAATCGGAGGTCAACCTGTAGAATATCCATTCATTATTATTGGCCAACTAGCCTCAATCGCTTACTTTGCTATCGTTGTCATCTTCATACCAATTGCAAGTATAATTGAAGACAGCATTCTAAAATTTATCTAACTGTCCTGATAGTATAACAATTATTCTGGTTTTCTAAACCAGAAATGAAGGTTAAACCTTCTCAGGGCATCAAGAAGGAAGGACTATCCCCCACCATCAGCACCCAAAGCTGAAATTCTACTTAAACTACTTCTTGTACATAAATTTATCTAGTCCATAATACATTTATGTATATCGTACATTAAATTATTTTCCCCTAGCATATAAGCATGTCCTATTTAATTAATGTTTTTAAGACATATTATGATTTACTAACATACTATACTTTATACCATGTCTATTATATCATTACTATATATTAATGACTCTTAAACATACCTGTGTTATCTTACATACCCCATTTAGTCATAACCCTGCTTGTCCGTATGTCTATCCCCTTCCCCATGTGGTCTATCTATCTACCATCCTCCGAGAAACCAGCAACCTGCCCACATCTGCCCCTCTTCTCGCTCCGGGCCCATTTTAACTTGGGGGTGACTATACTGAAACTTTATCAGGCATCTGGTTCTTACTTCAGGGCCATAGAATGTTTTATCGTCCATACGTTCCCCTTAAATAAGACATCTCGATGGTTACGGGTCTAATCAGCCCATGCCCAACATAACTGTAATCTCGGGCCTTTGGTATTTTTTAATTTTCGGTGTGCGTGACTCAACTAGTCGTGAAATCAGCTTATCATGTAGCCATGTTATTTCACTCAAGGGGAATGCCATTAATCCTCATGGGACTCCTCTGAAGACATACTGTTAATGTTTTCTTGGACATAAATAATTACTTGACTTGATTTCTAGTATCAAACCTCCCTTCCCCCAACTTAATAGCATTCCCTCTGACAAACCCCAAAAGCAAAGATCCAACTATTAAGACCCCTCCCACATTCTAGAGGTCCCCTAAATATAACTTAAAACCCAGTATTCGTAGAAAAAATCCTTCCAAATCGTCACTTAAATTTACCTATGTGTTCCAAAATATCCAGGTAGCACAGAGTGCATATTTAGTTAATGTAGCTTAACATAAAGCAAAGCACTGAAAATGCTTAGATGGATTCCCTTAATCCCATAAACACAAAAGGTTTGGTCCTAGCCTTATAGTTAGTTAGAGGTAGAATTACACATGCAAATCTCCTTAAACCAGTGTCAAATCCCTAGGTTTTTATTTTAAACCCTAAGGAGAGGGTATCAAGCACATATATATAGCTAAAGACACCTTGCCTAGCCACACCCCCACGGAATTCAGCAGTGATAAAAATTAAGCTATAAACGAAAGTTTGATTTAGCCATACCTCATTCAGGGTTGGTAAATTTCGTGCCAGCCACCGCAGTCATACGATTAACCCAAACTAACTATCCCCGGCGTAAAATGTGTTTTACTACTAGCATAATAGAATTAAAACCCAACCAATATGTGAAAATTCATTGTTGGACTTAACCTCAATAACGAAAGTAATTCTAATTATATTAATACACGATAGCTAAGATCCAAACTGGGATTAGATACCCCACTATGCTTAGCCCTAAACCTAAGTGATTAAATAACAAAATCACTTGCCTGAGAACTACTGGCCACAGCTTAAAACTCAAAGGACTTGGCGGTACTTTATATCCATCTAGAGGAGCCTGTTCTATAATCGATAAACCCCGTTATACCTTACCACCCCTTGCTAATTCAGCCTATATACCGCCATCTTCAGCAAACCTTAAAAAAGAACAAAAGTAGGCAAGAGAATATCCATAAAAATGTTAGGTCAAGGTGTAGCCTATGGGTTGGGAAGTAATGGACTACATTTTCTTTTCTAAGAACATACACACTATCCTTTATGAAATCTAAAGGACAAAGGAGGATTTAGTAGTAAATTAAGAATAGAGATCTTAATTGAGTAGAGCAATGAAGTACGTACACACCACCCATCACCCTCCTCAAATTAAGCCGACCATCAATTATACCTAATACCAATTAATAAGCTTATGAGAGGAGATAAGTCGTAACAAGGTAAGCATACTGGAAAGTGTGCTTGGACTAACCATAAGGTAGCTTAAACCCCATAAAGCATCTGGTCTACACCCAGAAGATTCCACATCCAATGGACATTATGAACTAACTCTAGCCCTCATTTTTTCAATCTATAAAATTTTAACTTACAAATTAAAACATTCACTAAAAGAAGTATTGGAGAAAGAAACTTTTTAAGGAGCCATAGAGATAGTACCGTAAGGGAAAGATGAAAGACTTGTTAAAAGTAAATAAAAGCAAAGATTAAACCTTGTACCTTTTGCATAATGAACTAACTAGAAATCTTCTAACTAAGAGAACTTTAGCTAGAGACCCCGAAACCAAGCGAGCTACCCAAGAGCAACTTTAAGAGTTAACCCGTCTATGTAGCAAAATAGTGGGAAGACTTCTGGGTAGAGGTGAAAAGCCTAACGAGCCTGGTGATAGCTGGTTACCCAATAAAGAATTTTAGTTCAACTTTAAGCCTACCATAAACTTTACTAACACAAATGTAAGCTTAAAATATAGCCTAAAGAGGGACAGCTCTTTAGGAACGGAAACAACCTCTAATAGTGAATAAGACAATCAATCAACTAACCATAGTTGGCTTAAGAGCAGCCATCAATAAAGAAAGCGTTCAAGCTCAACACTTAATAGTACATAATACCCTAAATAAAATCTATTTCCTATCTTCATAACTGGGTTAATCTATTAGCTAATAGAAGCAATACTGTTAGCATGAGTAACAAGAATATTATTCTCCACGCACAAGCCTATAACAACCCGGATAACCATTGTTAGTTAACAAATTATAAGTACATTAACTATTTGTAAAAAGTACTTATCATCTAATGTTAATCCAACACAGGTGTGCTAAAAGGAAAGATTAAAAGAAATAAAAGGAACTCGGCAAACACAAATCCCACCTGTTTACCAAAAACATAACCTCTAGCATTACAAGTATTAGAGGCAATGCCTGCCCAGTGACTAAGTTTAATGGCCACGGTATCCTGACCGTGCAAAGGTAGCATAATCACTTGTTCCTTAATTAGGGACTAGTATGAATGGCTAAACGAGGATTTAACTGTCTCTTATTTCCAATCAGTGAAATTGACCTTCCAGTGAAGAGGCGGGGATATAACAATAAGACGAGAAGACCCTATGGAGCTTTAACCGTATAATTTAATTTTAACAACAAACAGTCTACTGACTACAAAACATTAAATATAAATTATAAGTTTCGGCTGGGGTGACCTCAGAGAACAAAAAAAACCTCCGAACGATTATAACCTAGGCCAACAAGCCAAAGTATCAATAATCTTATTGACCCAAACTAATTTGATCAACGGACCAAGTTACCCTAGGGATAACAGCACAATCCTATTCAAGAATCCACATCGACAATTAGGGTTTACGACCTTGATGTTGGATCAGGACATCCCAATGGTGTAGCAGCTATTAAAGGTTCATTTGTTCAACGATTAAAGTCCTACGTGATCTGAGTTCAGACCGGAGTAATCCAGGTCGGTTTCTATCTATTTACAATTTCTCCCAGTACAAAAGGACAAGAGAAATGGGGCCTCCTTAATATAAGCGCCCCTAATTAATTAATGAAACCATCTCAATATAGTAAATCCATACTATATTTACCCTAGACAAGGGTTTATTAGGGTGGCAGAGCCCGGAAATTGCGTAAGACTTAAAACCTTGTCCTCAGAGGTTCAAATCCTCTCCCTAATAGTGCATTTAATTAATATCATAATATTACTCATTCCCATTTAAATCGCAATAGCCTTTCTCACTCTAGTAGAATGGAAAATCTTAGGTTATATACAACTATGAAAAGGCCCTAATATAGTTGGTCCATACGGCATCCTCCAACCATTTGCTGATGCTATAAAACTATTTATCAAAGAACCTTTACGCCCTTTAGCCACCTCAACATCCTTATTCATCATCGTCCCTACACTATCACTCACACTAGCATTTAGCTTATGAATTCCCCTACCCATACCCTACCCCCTAATTAATATAAACATAGGCATACTATTTATTCTAGCTATCTCTAGCCTATCTGTATACTCCATCTTATGGTCAGGTTGAGCCTCTAACTCAAAATATTCTATATTTGGAGCCCTACGAGCAGTCGCACAAACAATCTCTTACGAAGTAACCATAGCTATTATCTTACTATCAGTTCTCCTAATAAACGGCTCATTTTCCTTACAGTTCCTCATTATCACACAAGAACATACATGACTTTTATTAACATCCTGACCTCTAGCCATAATATGATTTATCTCAACCCTAGCAGAAACTAACTGAGCACCTTTTGATTTGACTGAAGGAGAATCCGAACTAGTGTCAGGTTTTAATGTAGAATATGCTGCAGGACCATTTGCTCTATTTTTTATAGCTGAATACACCAGCATTATTCTGATAAATGCTCTATCAACAACCGTATTCTTAGGACCCATTCACAACATATATTACCCACAAACATACACAATTGATTTTATAATCAAAACTCTAATACTGACTTCCCTATTTTTATGAATTCGAGCATCTTACCCACGATTTTGCTATGACCAACTTATACACCTTCTTTGAAAAACCTTCTTACCACTAACACTAGCTTTATGCACATGAGACATCTCAATTCCTATTTTTATAGCAAGCATCCCACCTTACACTTAGAAATATGTCTGATAAAAGAGTTACTTTGATATAGTAAATCATAGAGGTTCAAGCCCTCTTATTTCTAGGACAGTAGGAATTGAACCTACCTTTTAGAATTCAAAATTCTATGTAATACCAATGTACTACATCCTAATAAAGTAAGGTCAGCTAATTAAGCTATCAGGCCCATACCCCGAAAATGCTGGTTTAAACCCTTCCCGTACTAATTAATCCTATTACCCTCTTGATTATCTACTTCACTATTCTTTCAGGTCCCATAGTCACAATACTCAATAACAACTTCTTTCTTATGTGAATTGGTCTAGAAATAAATCTCCTAGCCATCATCCCAATTATAATCAACAAGTCAAATCCACGAACTACAGAATCAGCAACAAAATATTTTATTACCCAGGCTACAGCCTCCATAATCTTCCTACTCTCAATTATTATAAACTATAAACAATTGGGAACATGGGTAATCCAACCTCAAACTAGCAGCCTTGCATCTACACTAATCTTTATCTCATTAGCAATTAAACTAGGTTTATCACCCTTCCATGCTTGACTACCAGAAGTAACTCAAGGTATCCCACTAAGTACAGGACTTCTTCTACTAACTTGAAAAAAACTAGCTCCCCTACCTATTTTATTTCAAATTTATGAACTAATTAATCCACACGTATTAATCCTATCAGCTTCACCTCAGTAATAATTGGAGCATGAGGAGGCCTCAACCAAACTCAAAAAATCATAGCCTACTCCTCTATCGCCCACATGGGATGGATAATCTCAATTCTACCCTACAACCCATCCCTTACTATAATTAATCTCGCTATCTACATTCTATTAACACTAGCTATATTCTCAATTCTCCACGCCCACTCATTCTTCTCTATTAAATCCATATCACTTCTATGAAACAAATCACCTATTATATTACCCCTAATATCTTCCATTATTTTATCCACAGGAGGACTACCTCCACTTACTGGCTTCTTACCTAAATGACTTATCATTACAGAACTCCTAAAAAACAATAACCAATTATTAGCCTCAGTTATAGCAATTGTAGCCTTAATTAACTTATTCTTTTACACCCACCTAATCTATTCAACCTCACTAAACACATTCCCCACTAACAACTCCAAAATATTCACCCATCAAGCAAACACAAAAAATATCTAGCCCTACCACTAACCGCAACTGCAAGTACTCTCACACTCCCCCTCTTACCTCTGATATTATAGAAGTTTAGGATAAATAAGTCCGATGGCCTTCAAAGCCCTTAGTAAACCCTTAGTTTAACTTCTGCATAGAGATTGTAAGACTATACCTTACATCTAATGAATGCAAATCAATTGCTTTTATTAAGCTAAATCCCCCTAGATTGGCAGGATTCAAACCTACAAAATTTTAGTTAACAGCTAAACACCCAACTACTGGCTTCAATCTACTTCTCCCGCCTATCAGAAAGGGGGCGGGAGAAGCCTTAGTAGAAATATTATCTACACCTTCGAACTTGCAATTCGATATGATTATCACCTTAAGGCCTGGTAAAAAGAGGGTTATAACCTCTGTGCTTAGATTTACAGTCTAATGCTATGCTCAGCCATTCTACCTATGTTCATTAATCGCTGGTTATTTTCAACTAATCATAAAGATATTGGAACACTGTATTTAATATTTGGGGCCTGAGCAGGTATAGTAGGCACTACTCTCAGCATTTTTATCTGAGCAGAGCTTAGTCAACCTGGAGTATACATCTTAATCCTACCGGGCTTCGGAATTATTTCACACATTGTTACTTATTACTCCGGAAAAAAAGAACCTTTTGGCTATATAGGTATAGTATGAGCAATAATATCAATTGGATTCCTGGGCTTTATTGTTTGAGCTCATCATATATTTACAGTAGGACTTGACGTAGACACACGAGCCTATTTTACATCAGCCACTATAATTATTGCAATCCCAACTGGAGTAAAAGTATTTAGCTGACTAGCAACGCTTCATGGAGGAAACATCAAGTGATCACCAGCTATACTATGAGCCCTAGGGTTTATCTTCTTATTTACAGTTGGAGGTCTAACAGGTATTGTCTTATCAAACTCATCCTTAGATATTGTATTACATGATACTTACTATGTGGTCACCCACTTCCATTACGTTTTATCAATAGGGGCAGTCTTTGCTACTATAGCAGGCTTTGTTCACTGGTTCCCTTTATTCTCAGGTTATACTCTCGACAACACATGAGCAAAAGCCCACTTCAAGAACAGATAAACAACTTAAATACACTTAAACACATAAGGAAAGAGAGACAGTTATCCATAGTGTCCCAACCAAAATCTAGGTCCAAATGGATTCCGAGCAGAATTCTACCAGAAATTCAAGGAAGGTCTAATACCAACACTCGTCAAATTGTTCCACACATTAGAAACAGAGGAAATATTGCCAAACTCTGTTTATGGGGCTACAATTACCTATGCTGAATCCATCTGCACCTAGATTTTGGTTGGGAGACTATGGATAACTGTCTCTCTTTCCTTATGGGTTATAAGTGTATTTAAGTTGTTTATCTGTTCTTGTTTTAATTTTGGTATGCTGTATTCATCTAGAAAATTGAACATCTTAAAGTTTCCAGTTTTGTGGAGTACAAGTTTTTGAAATATGACCTGATGATTCTCTGGATTTCCTCATTATCTCTTGTTATGTCCCCATTTTCCCTTCTGATTTTCTTAATTTGGATATTGTCTCTCTGTCTTTTGGGTAGTTTGGACAAGGGTTTGTCTGTTTTGTTGAATTTCTCAAAGAACCAACTCTTTGTCTGATTGATTCTTTGCATTTTTTTCTCTTCTTCTATTTTATTGGTTTCAGCCTTCAATTTGACCATTTCTTGCCATCTACTCCTGAGTGAGTTTGCGTCTTCTTGTTCTAGCTCTTTCAGTTGCTCTGTTAATTTGCAACTATGGGATTTTCCCAGCTTCTTTATGTAGGCATTTAGTGCTATGAACTTGCCTCTCAGCATTGCTTTCATTATGTCCATGAGTTTGGGTGTGTTGTGTGGTCATTTTCATTAAATTTTAGGAAGTCTAATTTCTTTCTTTATTCCTTGATCCAGTGGTGGTTCAGTTGATCACTGTTCAATTTCCATGTTTGTGGGCTTTCTGAAATTAATGTTGCTGTTGAATTCTAACTTTAAGCTGTGGTGATCTGATAGAGTACAGGGGTTTACTCCAATTATTTTTTATCTGCTGAGGTTTGCTTTCTTGCTGAGTATGTGGTCGATTTTTGAGAAGGTTCAGGGAGGTGCTGAAACGAAAGTGTATCCTTTTGTGTTTGGGTGGAATGTTCTATAGATGTCTGTTAAGTCCATTTGAGTCATAACCTCTATTAGTTCCATTATTTCTCAGTTAAGCTTCTGTCTAACAGATCTGTCCAGTGGTGAGAGTGGAGTGTTGAAGTCTCCCAATGTTAGTGTGTGGGATTTCATTTGTGA